GTGAGGTTTTACCTACAATCTTCGACTTTGTTTCTTATAAGATACATAATAAACTTACAATAATTTTGGATATTTGACTATGTATCTTGTGGGATACACTCCATATCTCCCTTGTTTATAAAAAAAATAATATAAAAATGGTCAAAATGCCTTGTGATATACCATATCACACTACCTAAACAACAATTTCACAAAAATTACTGTTATATTAAGGCTTGCCAAATTAAGGGTTAAAATACAAATCAGTGTAAATCTTAGACATAGATATTCAAAAGAATTAAAAATACTGAGTAGTTTTATTAAAAAATCTTTACATAAAATATTTGAAAGGCACAATTTCACAAGCGGTAAAATGCGATAAAATAAATTTCTGTACCAGATGCTGTTGCGTAAGCTTACAGGTAATTAATAACAATAATTTCAATAAAGTGGCTGGGAGATTAATAACTTTTATATTATAATTAGGCAAATAATGAAGATCTTGGCATATAACTTTAGTCATTAATCGCAAGACGTTAATTACGGTACTTACGTAACGTAACCATTTTTTCCGTTTATATTTTCAGTAATAAAAAATAATAATTACAGAAATGCAGAAAATAAAAACATTAAAATAACTTATGTCCCTAAAGTTTTCGATAAACTTTAGATTTAAAAGTATTATTGGTAGGAAGCATTGGATCAAGTTGCCATTGGAAAACAAAAATTAGTAAAAAACTTAAACGATATAAACAATGTCAGTTTTGAAAAATACGGTTCGTTACAATGTCGTACAAGCTTAATATTCGTCAAAGTATTTATCGTTTAGTTGGACATGTACCAAAACGCGATATTGTAAGAATTTTTAGTGCTCAAAATATATCTGTGTCAACGATTTACCAGACAATTAAAGAGTACGAAATGGTATACTATACCTAAATTTACCAAAACGTGGAAAACCAAGAGATTTAACTCCTGTTTGGGAACAGAGATTACTTCAGAGTATGGAAAGTCTTTGTGAAATGTTGGCCGAAGACATAATGTTTCACGGATGACTGTAAGTAGAACAATTTCTAGAAATGATTCCAAATTTACTGGTTGCCAACAAGTTATGGGTTTATCGAAAACTAAAGTACTTTATGGGGATTCACTGCTCGTCTACTACGGGAAACCCATTCTAGAGAAAATCAGAAAACTAGCTCCAAAAACACAATAAAAACGTGAAAGTCATTATTCATAAGTATTGTAGTAATTCCAGAAGATAGTAAAAAATAGAAACAGAATCTCATAACAATACAAGAACCACTATTGAAGAAAATTCAGGTCCCGAAATCCTACCAGAAGAAATAAGGCCAGCCGTCAGACAAATGAAGAATGGTAAGGTACCGGTACTTAATAACTGAAATATTTAATGAAATATACAAGGCAGGAAAAATACCAAATCGGAGTTTGTACCATTGCCCAAAAAACCAGGATCAAAAGTTTGTGAAGACTACAGGACCATAAGCCTAATGAGCCATCTGCTGAAGCTGTTTTTAAAAGTCATCCACAAAAGAATTTACCGGAAATGCGAGGAACACATTGCATTCAATCAGTTTAGCTTTGTGAACGCCGTTGGTACGAGAGAAGCTTTATTTAGCGTGCAGGTACTCTTTCAGAAATGTAGAGATGTCAGCTTTGATGTTGAATGAATGATGAAGAAGACTGACTTTCGATAGAGTCCGACATGAATAAATGATGGAAGTGCTGAAGAGATCTAAAAATAATAGCTAACCTAAATTGGAATATGACAGGGGTGCATAATTTCACCACTGACATTGGAGTAGTGTGTCGTACCTACGACACACTACTCCAAAACAAATAAGTGCTATGCTATTCGGTTTTTCATCGCCCGTGACCTCATTCTCCGATGATGCCAATGTTGCCATTGGTGGCAAGAAACAGTCATCTCCTGGAGTTGACCGGTTCTTTCACCTAAGTACTTGCAATTATTGATGCAGTCGTAGTACTTTCACCTAAGATGTGCAAACGTTGTTCATATACGAAGCATACATATATAAACTGAATTTGGTACAAAAAAAATGGATTTGGCTTGTTTTTGCACCGAACCCTTTAATTATTTAATGATAGGAAGAATGACGAGTATCTAGATCATCTCTTTTAATAATGCACGTAAGTTTTGGCTCAAGTTCTAGCAAGTTTTTACAAATAACTCTCAAACATTTATCGAACTTTCGACTAGAGAGTTGATTGACAGTTAGTGTTTTACAACAAAAAAATCTTTTAGTTTTTGGTAAACTATTAAAAAAAATTACAGTTCCTTTGTGCGATATAAATAGAAGCTTGATGAACTTTTCAATATTTGAACAATAAAGACTTAATATAATCGTAAACTTTAAGTGCACCTTCTTGAAGATGGTAAGCTTATATGAAAATTTGGAAATATATTTGCACTAGGAGCACATTTTTGAAACGGTTCTAAAAGATATTGATAAAAGCATCTCAATAAATGGAGCTCAATGGGGTTCAATAATCTGTGGAATGCAGATGATACAATAGTGTTTTCCAATACCATAGAAGGGTTGCAAAACTTAATGAACAAAATAACGAAAACAAGTAGAACATATGCAATGGATATAAACGCCAGCAAAAACCAAGCTAATGATCATAAGCAAGGAAAACGTAACTGAAGCAAATCTGTATGTTAACCAAATGAGAATTGAACGTGTCTCACAGTACAACTGCTTGATGACTCGTGGTACAATACCCAAGAGATTAAATGTCGCATCGGAAAGGCAAAAAATCCATTCTTGACTATGAGCCATGATCTCACCATAGAAACAAAAATAAGGCTCTTTTAATGTTACGTTTACTCAGTGCTTTTTTTCAGGCTTTTGAGCTATGGTTATACAAAATGATACTGAAGATACCATGGACAGAAAAATTCACCAATGAAGAAGTGCTACGAAAGATGCACAAATGCGGATTTGGTCAATATCGTGAAGGGCCGTAAGTTGCAGTACTTGGGACATATAATGAGAAATCAAGGCAGATATGAGCTACTCCAATGCATTTTGCAATGTAAAATGGAAGAAAAAAGGACCCCAGGATGAACAAGAATGTTCTGGCTTGCTAATCTAAGAGCATGGTATAGAAAGGACCAGTGGCGGTCTCAAGGGGGGGGGCGGTGGGGGCGAACATTAATTTTCTGAAAAATTGAGAAGTTAATATACATATTAATCAGAAGTGTGGGATCGAACTAATGCATTGCTATTATTGGACAAAATGCAATTGCCAATCAACGTAACACAGCGATTGTTTGTGAAATTTTGATATTAGTATTCCAAGAATATCACAAGTGCAGAAGAATCGAGCCAACCACGCAATTAAAGACCCAGAGACATACTTTAGAGTATCAGTGTTCCTTCCCATTCTAGACTCTGTAATAGAAGACACAAAGTCTCGTTTTCTTGAAGAAACAATGGAGTTGTACAATCTTCACGTATGCATGCCTGAATACCTGATAACCAACTCTGTTCAGGACATGTCTGAAAAAATTGAGTGTTTAGTAAGGAGGTACAGTGAACTTTTTGATATGTCTCAAGCTAAAATAAAACGCTTATTGAAAGGTGAACTACAGCTTTGGGAAATGCAATGGAAAGACACGGACGAATTTCCAAAAACAGCGCTGGACGCGTTTGACAGTTGTAACAGAGATTTGTTCCCTACAGTCAGCAAGCTACTTCTAGTTTTAGCTACACTTCCCATCAGCAATGCTTCTGCAGAGCGTAGCTTTCAATCTCTAAAGAGAATAAAGTCGTGGCTAAGAACACGGATGCGTCAAGACAGGTTGACTGGACTTGCTCTAATCCATGCCCGTCGAGACATCCCTGTAGACCCAACGAAAGTTTTAGAACGATTCGCCAAAAGTGGCCATCGAAAACTTGAATTCGATTTGTAATTACCTTCTTTTTAAAACCTTATAACTTGTTATTTTATTACTTATAACCTAATAAAACTATTACAATTTTTAATGTGAACCTCCTCTTTCCATTCTAATAGACTAATTTGTATTGTATATTTATTGTAAATTTTAACATTTTAAAAGGTAAAATGTGTTTTGAGCTCTTTCAATTCAAGCGTAAAACTAACATTGTCAGACCAAACCTCTGAAGTTTGACGTTTGTTCGTGATAACGTAAAATCACCTAAATCGTCAAAGGTTTAGAAAGATGAGACTTGCTTCAAAGGCTTGCCATTGAAAAATATTATCACCCACAAACCTTTTCTATTAGACTTTGAGTTGTTTTCAATAGTTCTCAATTGGTTTTTGATACAATCACAAGAATACAAAATATATTTTGAATATTTTATTTGTAAGTTAGTCGAACAATACTTACAACAAGCTTTAGAGGCTAGCTTTTTTATTTTTTATTATAGTGTAAAATTGTTTCCACTGATACTAATTGTAATAATAATAAGTGATTTTCCTTTTTCTCCGTTCGTCACAACCACTAAGCGACAGTCAGTCCATATTCGGTGCATCAACTGTTCAAATGAATAAAATGCCTTTAAAACTCTCAAAATCTTGCCATATTTTTACAAATTTTCCGGACCCCCTTTCCGGATGGGGTGCTGCATTCCCCAGACCCCCCTGCAATAGACCATCGCCCCTCCCAAAATCTGACTCTGAGACCGCCACTGGAAAGGACTCAACATAGATATTTCGTATAGCAACCAATAAAGTCATCATAACCAAAATGATCGCCAACGTTCGGAACGGACAGGCACCCTAAGAAGAAGAATAGAAAAATAACTTTCTGATAGTTACGACTATTAAATAAAATCTTTTTTAATTACATCTATAATAATTGATTTATTACCAATTCTCTACATTTACTATTTTTAATCTTAAAATATATCTCAAGAAAGTTCTAAACTAAAAAGTTGGTAAATATACCATTTAATACAACTAAAACCATTGAATTTGTTAAATGTTAAATATATAATATGTTTACTTACCCCTGTAAGATACCGGTACTGGCTGGCATCACTTAATTCTAACTTCCTCTTATCCTCTTTCCCTAATCCGGCCAACAAACAATAAAAAACGTGATAATTTCTTTCCTCTGGATTTTGAGAAACTATCCTACTTTTTTCTAACAAATACTGTTCAATTTTCGCCCCTTCGATAACTCCATCCTTATTAAAATGAATATCAATGTATTTTCCAAATCTAGAACTATTGTCGTTCCTCACTGTTTTTGCGTTTCCAAAAGCTTCTAAAATAGGATTGGCTTCTAAAATTTGTTGTTCTATCCAAGAATGTTTACCGCTGATAGCTGCTAAATATTGGAGTATTAGTTTTGTACTTTCCGTCTTTCCTGCCCCGGATTCACCAGAGATGACTATACATTGATCTTGTCCATACCTAAAAGAGTATTACAGTTTTAATCATTTCATCCAGGCAATTAAATTAGTAAGAAACTATACCTAGGTACTCTTGTTTGCAAGACTGTTCACAGTCATGAAGAAATTAAAATACGTGTTGAAAAAGATCAGTGGGTTTTGAAAATGAAACAAGTATTCCTCTGTCATGAGATTGGTTTAACAGATTTTAAGTTTCATGGCTTAGAAACCTGGGAGATTGGTTTAACAGATCCTCTGCATCTCTTTTTCGAGCTGCCGTCAACAAAATTACTATAGCCAATTTGATAGCCAACACTCGATAATCGAGCACGACCCATGAAGAAGAACATTCCTCTGTCTGTCATAAAAGAAGTCATTTAGAAGTAACATGTCTTATTAAATTTTACCTTTTTGTTTCAGTATTACACGACAATATATTTTCATTTTCAGACCATCAACCTCTTTTGGCAGCTAGTACCCTAAACTTTTAGAGTCACAAGAAATAAAAAAGATTAAACAGAGATGCTAGGAAATGGGAGCTATAACAGATAAAACATGATTTTCTTCTTAATCATAAAAACGCAAATGAAAGAGGAACAAAAGTTCCATTTGCACCAGTTGAGACACATAAGTTGAACTTGTGAAACGATTATTGGCCAGTTGAAGAGAGTAAACCAAAGGATTTTGGTACTTTATCACTTTATTGGCAAATGTTTCGTATATGAATCAATGTACATAATCAGTTCTTGATCTAAAAGTAAAACTGTAAGATACACAAATGGGAAATTAACAATGTGTTGATTCTTATTAACAGAGGATAAACTTGATTTAGATATAGAAATAAAGTGTTGAGTTGCATTTACTAAAGCCACTTTTTTAAAAAATGAGAATATTTCTTTGTAATAATCATTTCAACTTAGAACCAAAACAAGTTCTGATAAGTGCTATAAATAGAAGCTTACATGCTAAATGCACCAGCCACCAACAATAAACCAAATTGAAGCATTAGAAATATACATAAATATACGAGTGTTACATATTTCTTGGATAGTTCATCATCATCATCATCTTTGGCTCGACAATCCTCTGTGGATCCTGGCCTGCTCGAAGATTAATCGCCATTCTGTTCGGTTTCTGGCAACGTGTTGCCATCTTCTGATCTCTAGTATCCCTAAGTCGGTCTCAACTCCATCTAACCTAACCTAATTCACGGTGGGCCTCTGCTTCTTCTTCCTATAGGTGTTCCTGTCGTTAGCTTTTTATCTAAGTCGCTGTGTTTTAATTAACGTTACGACATCTGGTTCATTAAAGAGTTGGTATAATTCGAAATTAAATTTTTTGCGCCACTGCCCTGATCATTTATAGCTAAAAATATTTTGCGGAGTATCTTACGCTCGAATATTCCGAGAAATCTTTCATCCTTCTGCGTTAGAGTCCATGTTTCCGCTCCGTATGTGAGGAACGGCCTCAGCAGTGTTTTGTACATAATAATTTTGCTAGTAAGCGAGCGAGGTATGTGAAGTTGTCAACACGTTCAAAGATATGACTTTTAAATGCTGTTTCCCGTTCCTCATTTGCTATAGGATCCTTAGTAATCAGCATGTACTTAATTTTGTTTTCGTTGATGACTAGACCAACCTGTTTCGCCACCGTTTCCAATTCTAGGAAATATTGCTCAACATCTCGCTTGCTACGCACTATTATGTCAATACCATCAGCGTATGCTAAGATTTGTATTGATTTATTCTAAATAGTCTCTAATTCGTGTGACTCAAACTGCCTTTTTCAAGGCAATGTTAAACAGGAGGCAAGCCAGTGTATTCCCTTGTCTGAGTCCATCCTTTATCTCAAAGGATCGAGAATTTTCTCCCTGTATCCTTAACGCTGAATTTTAAGTTAGACATTGTCATTCTCGTTAATCTGATAAGGTTTTCTGGTATACCAAACCTACGCAATAATTGGTATAGTACTGTTCTCTTGACATTGTCGTATGCGGCCTTGAAGTCGACGAATAGGTGATGTGTTTCAATGTTAAATTCCAATGTTTTCTCGAGGATCTGTCTTATTGAATGAATCTGGTTAATTGGTGATTTTTCTGGAGTAAATCCGACCTGGTACTTTCCAACTATGCTAACCGTGTAAACTTGTAGTTTTTCGTAGAGAATATTTGCTATTATTTTGTAAGAAGTTGTTTATACCTCTGTAGTTGTTACACTGGACCTGATCGCCTTTTTTATGTAACGGGCTTATCACGCCTTGAGACTATTCACAGGGCATGGTCTCATTTTGCCAGAAACGAAGTAAAATTTATGCAGTGCTTGTATTGTAGTATGGCGTCGCCAACAATCTTGTGGAGCTCATTACAAATTTGATCAGTTAGTGGTGTTTTAATATTTTTAAGCTTTTTAAGGGCTTGGGCAACCTCTTCAGTGGTAGGTGGTTTTTTGTTTGGGTTCAATAGATTACAATCATTTCGATCTGCTACGGTATTATTTGCTCTTGGATGGCTCATAAAACTAATATTAAGAAATTGAGAAGAGTATGTGGGTCTTATATTGGGAGGAAATAGATATAGAATACTACACCTGATTATCAAGAAAACAAGAATCATGGTTGAAAAATACTTGAAATTTGACCAAATAAATAAATTAGATTAATTAATAAATTAGATAAATCTAATATGGCACTTGAAGAAAGAAAAATTGATAAATTCTAAGTTAAAACAATATGAAAAATGTAGACTTGTTTGTAGGCTCCATGATGTTAGTATCTTATCTAGTGAAGTTAATAATGATGTTACAACATATAGAAAGGTCCATTGACGAAAAAGTTACTTGTCGAAATGTCCCGTAAGTTCTGGAACGTCAGAAAATATATATAAACAAGAAATTCAGTTCAGAAAGACAGTTCAAGTATAAGTAATTGAGTTTTTGCTAAAGTTATTATCAAGTATTATACATACATACCATAAGTGTTTTTTAAATTTGCAAAATGAATAAAAAGCGTTCATTAAAGCGAAGCTTCTATACTGGCGTTTTATTCTCTTTATTACTTTCTCGTATTACTTTTTTCTCTATAGTAAAATGCTGAGGCAAGCGACACGGAACTAGCGCCACGAAAAGACGTCACGGGTAGCGTCACGAAATAGCGGTTCTTCGCATTTAGTTTCTAGTCATCATATATTTATTCTTAGCAGGTTTAAATTAAAAACTTCATAAAAAATAAGTAACAAAAATACAAAATGAGAAGTAAAAAATTAAAAGAACTTCTGTCAATAAAAGAATCGATTGCTAACGATTGTCAAAATTTAAAACTCATAAATAATGTCATCAAATTAATAACAATATTAAATCAACTGTATGACACTTCTAGTTTTAAAATAACTTCATGTAAATACAATTACAATTTTTAAACATCTTATTTATAATTTGATGGGTCTATTAGAAGTAAACAACGTATGCTTTGTTAATATGTCAGCAGGCGGCGTTAAGAGCAAACATAATTAATAACATAACAATTAGAATTAGAAGCTTCGCGCTAATCGACTGTACCGCCTACCGTACCATCTTTTTTTTCTTATAAGCAACAATATTATTTCTAGGATAAGGTGTTAGAATTTCAATAGCCTTAAAAATTTCAACGATCAAACAATTATACTCTATCATTAGAGGTACGGAATTTTCGCAAATAAAAAACATGAATTTCGCATTTACTTTTTTTATAATTACAAAATTTCGCATTTATTTCGCATTTATTTTTAACTAAAAACATTAATTAAAAGCTAACATCGTTGTAATTTCGACATTCGACTCTTTAAGAGCTGTTCTTCGATCTGTCACTACAATATTATATTTGCTGAAGAATCGTTCTGCATCTACGCTGTTCGTTGGACTCCAGATGCTCTGTAATGCTGCTTTAGCAAATGACGGAAAACTGCATTGTGTAGTAAGCAAAATATCCTTCACATTGGGATCTTCGTTCCTTTGTATCGATTGAAGGATTAATCTGTGAAAGTGAATATATCCATCTATGTACTCCAATTGTATCATTGTTCTAAAAAAAGGAATTTTAGCAAAGCTTTCTGAGAGTACACTCGGGTTCACAGTAAAACTTGCAGCTATACATGGGTTAAATAACTGTCCAATGTGTAAGAAAGCCTCGTTTGTGTCTTTTAAAGTCATATGGAGAGTTAGTTTATTAAAGGCTTTGTCGTTTGCTTTCATAAGCATTTTCTTCAGTGTAGCGTCAATTTCTTCGTTTTCAGTGAGCAATCGAGATGTTTTTACACCAAAATAACCTTGGCGATGGTGTTCAAGTGACGATTTTAAGCCCTCTAATTTGTTCCATAAAAGATGGGCGAATGGATAACTGGCTCCTTCCAAATCGTCTATTAATTTCATTAATTTTGGACAGAACTCGGTGGTGAAGGTCATTTGAATTTCTAGTTTACGTCTGAAAGTTTCATCGGCGTAATTGTCTTTGAGAAATTTAATACTGGAATTTTCATTCTCCCACACATCAAAAAAATTGAGTATGTGATTAAGATATTCACTTAGATACGACACTGCTGAGAACCAAGAGTTCCATCTAGTTACAACTGGTGCTGGATAAAGTTTTGCTGGGAGATTGGGCACGTTTTCTTTCAAATAATTCAAGTAAGAGTTTTCATTTTTCTTGAAAGACAAAAGGCTGACTTGACTTTTGCTGTAAACATGTTTAACTCCTTGAACTCTCCTACAAACACATCACCAACAAGATTAACTTTATGAGCCCAACACTGGTAATGTAAGATATGTGGCCCTATTAGAATTTTTAATAGGTTAAAGCAAGCAGACATGTATCTTGCGGAATCTGATACCAGGCCTTTAACTTGTGAATAACCAATTTCAAAGTCTTTTAATGTATCTATAATTGCCTGTGACCACGTTGATGCATTGGCAGTATCAAGGAAGTTAACACTTGTTAAAAAACATTCTTGATGTAGTACAGAATCTATAGTTCTGAAGAGAATAGCAAAAACACATCTTCCTTGTCCATCCGAGGTTTCGTCTGCTACTATTACAATGGGCTTGTCTTTCAGCTGTTGCTTTGTATTGGCTTTTTCAGACAGCCCACACCGAGGAACTACCTTTCTCCTTAAAGTGTCCGCACATGGAAGAGCACCCGACCCCGGCACATATCTAGCAATATATTCACGCACAGCTGGATGATCCAATTTATGAAGTGGAATGTTGGCTTTCAGACACATACTAACTGTATCCTCCACAAAAGTATCATTTTCTTCTTTTGCTCGTTTCTGTCTCTCAAAGCCACTAGCAATTGACATTTGTCGCTTAGTTCCTGAAGTAGATGCTATAGATTTTTTCTTGTTAATGTGGTTAGTCGACTTCACATGTTTCTGCAGTGTGTCCTTTTTATCACCTTCCAAACGAGTATTACAATACTTACACATCACAATATTTGTGTCACACAGATATAGGCCATCGGTTGCAAATTCTTTGACTCGATCACTCAAAATTGTTTTAGGGCGTCCCATTTTAGGAGAACTTTAAGTAACTTTATTTCACTATGAAAACTTTTTTGATAGACTATGTTCTCACTCAGTAAAAATTGACGGAATGAACATTGATTGTCCTGGTTGACTAATTTATATGTTTAGAAAATAAGAATTAGCCGACTTTTATCAACAACAGTCGGCAAAAATATCAATTCCTTATCTTATCTTTATCTATTTAATGATGAACAATGAAAGATCCTTCTGTTTCAACACGTGTTACAACAGTAAACAATCCTTTCAAAAATTACAATAGAAAACTTTCTGTAAAATCTTTCTATACCTTCGTAACTACCTACTTATTTAGGGGTGAGTTGAGCACCTGCAGATATTTCGCGGAAATAAACAAAAAATCCATATTTCGCATTTATCGCATTTATGTTCAAACTTTCGCCGAAATTCGCATCTATTTCGTATAAACGAAAATTCCGTACCCCTATCTATCATACATGCGAGATTCATCGAACTATTTTTAGATGATATCATCGCTTTTATTAAATTTACTTGATGTAGTGCTACCATTCTCAGACCGCTTTTGCACTATGGATGTGTCTCAAGAGGTATTTTAAGTATTTTATGATTCCAGAAAAGAAAGAATGACGAATTTCCACGTTTATTTTTTAATTATTTCATTGGCAAGAAGAAGAATTGTTCACAGCAATTGTTGTGTGTGTCATGAATTAACTACTACTATATGAAATAGAAACCTGGACTTTAATTGAGGCCAAGCTCAAACGCTTGGAAATCTTTGAGATGTGGATATACAGGTGACTACTAAACATAAGCTGGATCGACAGAGTCAAAAATGAGGACGTTCTTAGACGGTTGAACCAAACAACACAACTGGTCATCTCATCATGTAGGAAAGATCCAAGGTAAACATAGTCCTACAGAAGAAAAACTCCATGGCTTAAAAAGTTAAGACAATTGTATAGAAAATCGACATCATAATTTAGACTGCTGTCATGGAACCAGAAGAAGAAAAAATTTTGGTTGGCACTCCGTTTAGGCGTTTAGCAGCAGGTGTATAAGTAGTTTAGTACTAATGGTTAATAGGAACGTTCTAAAAAGCTCAAGAGAAGAGTTTGACTGGGATGGTAGGTGGTGGCGCTCTAAAAGATCCTGACGGAGATAGTGAAGAAGGGACGTTTATTGTCAAAATAAGTTTTTTTAAATAGGTAAAAAGAAGTAAGAATAAGACTTAATCACAATCAATTTATTCTACCACCAACAACTGGTTTCGCATATTATAATTTGCTGTGCATCTTGAGGTCTTAAGGTATATGGTAAACTAAATGCTGAAATTATAAAAACCCTTATTAGGGTGATGTCTGGTAAAGAAAATACTGCAATTATGTCAATATTATATATGTGTGATCATTAAATATAACTTTAAAATTGATTAAACAAACAAAGTAAAAGTAAATGCATAAGGAAGTAAGAGGAAGTGAAGTAAATTGAAATTAAATTAATAAATGACCAATAAATACTACTTACATGCCAATACATGGATTAGTAGGTAGAAGGTAGAATAAATTGATTATAAGTAAGTCTTATTCTTATTTCTTTTTAACTATTTGAAATGGACTCACACAGGCAACATATTCAAGATTTGTTTTTTTTAATATTTTTTTAATTTATGTTTGTTTTATATTTAAATTATGTTTTATATTTTAATTGTGTTGAGGACAATTTTGGTTGTCAACTTTCTATGAGCTGATATCACTGTACAACGTTCAATTGTATCAAAAACTTATCGTTCTTGTTCTTGCAAAATTTTTTAAAACGGTTTATTCAAGTTTCGTAAAATACTTTTTACGAATTGACTCCAGAAAAATGTATATTATTACAGATCTATTACATTGCTTTAGTTTGAAGATCTGGAAATTGTTTGGGCCTCTAACAAATACATTTCCTGAAAATCAGCAAGTAGATAGTAGTTTTAATAATATACCTCCTTCTTAATAGTGTATCATGGATGATCCAGATGTTTTAAATGTGATGAATTTCAGCTAAGTTTCGTTAAGTAATATGTTCCTTTTCAACCTTATTATCATTTCTGACTGTGTAAAAACTGAGTAAAAAAGAGCAGTTAGTTACTCTGTAATCAATCTAGGAATAAGATATTGGTGAAGAGGGCATTATAATTGCGTAACTCTACTTCTATTTTTATTCCAGAATATTTGAAAACCATTCTCCATTACTTGCAGCAGTTGTTGCTTCTTATTTAATTGTCTTTTAAAATTTACCGTTTGGATAAATTACGGAATCTTTCGCAAGGACCGTATGACCTTGCGGTAAGGTAAGTTACAATAATAGTACTGTAAATTTTAAAATTCATTTTATTGTCCGACTATTCATTGTCTATCAAAATAAAAAACTAATTATATTGTAACTATAATTTCCTAAATTATAGAGAAACCAATACAACAAAATCATAAATGTGTTTACGTAACAAAGGTCAAAGCTTAATAATGTATTTTGATAATAATCCCTAAACGACAAAATCTTCTTTGTAAGGATTCTGACAAATTCACATGACTTGAAAATAAATCTTAAAACTTTAAAACGTAAAAATAGATGAATGAAAATTTATTGGACGGAAAAATATGCACGTAGAAAAATGTCATCCTTACAAAAGTCTACAAAAAAAAAGAAAAAATATAAAGAAAAAAAAGATCGCTAATGATAATCAAAACTAATACCACAGAATAATAAACAATCAGAATGCCCACTCTCAGATGCCACCTTTGAAGTTTTTCAGCACGCGCGCCATGTTTTAGAAGGAAACATATAACACAGACATATTATTTGTGAGTTTATGTAATTGTTTATGTTTTTTATGTTATTATATTTAACAATGTTAATATAATTGTATAGTATGTTTATGATTGCCGCAAGTCAATTAAACCGGGTTAATTTTTCTATGCACACCACATAAACAACACTGGTTCTCTTTAAAACATGGCGGAACGTCTGCGCGAACGAGATGCGCGTACTTAATTTTCCATGAGAGTGGGCATTCTGATTGTTTATTATTCTGTGCTAATACATTAACTAGCATATAATATAGTCGATACCCGAAAATGATGAGTTTAATAAAACAGGAATTTCATAATAATGATGTCCATGATATTACAATTACTATTTTACATCAACGATTTTATAAACAACATATAGGGCCCGTGAGACTCCTCTGTATTTCCCACAGCACAGACTCAGTCAAGAAGTTCTCATCCCCTATACGGTGCACCTCAATGACTAATAGGGGGCGTCCTTTGGGTATAACAAATAATCACCCACGGATCAACTGAGAATATGACAAAACGAGCTGCTGCTGTCATTAATTGTAGAATTTTGATTGAACATGATACATACATGAATACCTACACCACGCTCAATTCGCAGGCAATAATCGGACATTCGCACCACAACTGACTGATCCTACAGTGAGGTGATCTCATTGCACAATTAGATAATGTTATGCAATAATAAAACTAACCACATTTTTTCTAAAATCGGATTATCAGGCCCTTTGTATTTGTAAACAAGTACTTCACGATAAGCTAAAATGATTTAACCCTCAAGTGAATCATTGCGCTCTTTTGTTAGGCAGCACACAGTGAGTACTGGAAAATTCAATTGGCAATAACGAGTTAACTGACTATGAATATCAGTTCAGTGACGCTTGCTTCAGCATTTTAGTATAGGTAAAAAAGTAATACAACGCCAGTATAGAAGCTTGGTTTCAAAAAATCTTGTACATTTAGTAAGCTTAAAGTTATACATAAACCAATAAAACTTCGTTCGATTTTCGTTACATTTCTAAAATAATTGCTGATATGACAGAAAAACTTTGTTTCATTCAGAGCTCACTCCAAGTTAACTCTGAAGAGTCCAAAAGGACAAAATACGTATAAGCGAATAGTGGTTGGTGCATTGAAATTAAATCATAACTGTTGTTCATATTATACATAAACGTCTAAAAAAATGATAATGTAACTTTTATCGGTGAGTTCAGAATAGAATATACTCCCACTGTACACACTCACCTTCTCATATGTCCATACGAATTATCACCAATGGCAAATATGTGTGGAGGTAATTCACCTATTTTTCGTTCTTTGTATAATTTGATTTGATCGGCAGTGTATATTGGAAGAATTTGATATGGATTGACTGCAACTAAAATTGATCCAGTGTATGTCTGAAAATAAAAAAATAAACACATAATGAGATTAAGGACGTTAATAGGTCAGATATTTAATTAAGACACCTTATAGATGCCCCAGTTAATTTCTACACATTGTTAGATCAGTAAGCAGAATATATTTTATGATTTAATATCGGATCGTTTGAATTTATTACTACTTGACCATTTGTACTTTTTCTTATAAAAATTTAATTGAATTGAAAATGTTAAAATTAAAATTCGTTAATTAGGGGAGCTTAGGAACGTTCGTTAATAATTTCTGTCCATTTTTTTTTCATAGTAACTAGAAAGGACTTTAAAAAAACGCAAGAGATGGGGGAGATTGAGCTTCGGTGTTAGTCCTCCATAGATCCCTACCGAAAGAACGAGTATGCTTAGCAACTAAAATATAGACAGATTAGAAATGCAAAGAACGGAAGAGCATTACATCTAATCACAGGAATGGTTGCTTTCCAATTTCGTAACACTACCAAAGACAGCTCATGCGACAAAATTTTCCCAGTACCGAACACTAGTATTGATAAGCAACACGCTTAAGATATTCCCGAAAACAATGCAAAAAACTCATCATCATCATCATCAATGGCGCTACAACTCTTCGTGAGTCTTTGCCGCGTTTACTATTGCCTTCCATGTTTGTCGGTCCTGTGCCAGTAATTCCCATTGTCGCACTCCCATCTTCTCTAGATCTTCTCTGACTGCATCTTTCCACCTTTTTCTAGGCCGCCCTACAGACCTTCTTCCATCTGGCCTTTCCCAGAACACATTGCTTATAAGGCGATTGTCGTCAAAAAACTGAAGAAAGTTATAGATAATACCAATTTCGGATTTGGAAATAAGGATTAGGAACGAGAGAAACACTTTTCGCTTTTAACTTGCTTATAGAAAGATGTTAAACGTCTTTGAACACATTAATCAGGGTCTTAGTGTCTGCCTCACTGATTTTCAGAAGGCATTCAATAAGAAAAAAACGTTGAATGAAAATATACTGAAAGATAGCATTTTATGGATGAGGTAGAAGAGTTAATCATGAATATCGGAGAAGATATCAGTGACTGTGAAATGGAACTGGCTGAAAATGAAGCTGACATTAATGATTTAGGTTGTGAACTATTATAAGTCATTTTATTATAAATAACCTGTTAATAATTAATAAAACTGTTTCATTTTGTCCTTTTTGCTTACTTATACTACTTAAATTTAATAAAAATTCATTTACTTTGTAATAACTAAAATACTTCAAAATACATCTAATAATAGTTTCTACTAACCTACCATTCAATCCGACAAATATGGAGATATGCTTTAGTTGAGTAAATATTTCGGCTACAAAAAAGTGGGTAGCTCACAATTATCTGGAAAGATGGAGGAACTACCAGGAGAAACAGCTCATTATAGAACATTCGCCAAAATTTACGACACAACTAATAAGCAAAGACAGGAAAACAGTAAAAACCATAGTAGGTCTGTAAAAGGGCACTGTAAGCTGAATATGCGGTTGAAGCTGATGTGATTGGTAGATGATGATTTATGCCGATTCTGTCACCTAGAAGAAGAAACAGCAAAGCACATTTTATGTCAGCGCGTGTCATATGCAGTTTTTTCGCATTAGGCGAAAAAAAGTTACCGGCACAGAGCTGCATGGAAGGTTCAGTCCCGAAATTATTAGACCTTTTAAAAAGGGTCTTTTAAAAAGCTAATAAAAACAAACTTATGACGACAGAAATGGATTATCTGAGACGAAGCTGCGGTAGATCGAAACTAGAAAGAGTTAGGAACGAACAAATAAGAAACCAAATGAAAATGGAGCGAAATATCAATGATGACATAGAAAGAAAACAATTAATCTGGTTAGGACATGTTAAAAGAATGCCAGAGTACAGATGGCCTAAAAGAGTACTGGAATGAATCCCTCCTGAAAGAAGAAAGAGAGGACGACCACGGAGAAGTTGGCGCAACGATATTGAAGCAATGGCGGCAAGAGACTTAGAAGAGGCAACTGCGTATGACAGAAAAAGATGGAAATTGGGGGAGGAGAAGCGGCGACAGCCGTAATCAATCCGTTATTATATATTTATATATATTAAAAAGGGTAAGGCTAGAGAGTGTAATCTAGGACTAGAGAACCACAATAGACCTGAGAGGTCGCAATAAACTAAGCCAAAAGCCACCTCATTGAATCTATCCATACAACATTTTTACCTTTAACTTCAAAATAGTTTGTTATGCCGGCCAGTAAGCGACCCATAGTCATTTTTAAAGCCATAGACAATAAGAAAATCAAATAACTCTATATCCATCTTTTAACACTTTTGATGTGTGTGAGGAGACAAAATCATAAAAACATCTACTTACACTGTATACTTATACTATAAAGAATATTGTCTACTTACGTAAATGAGATTTTCGTTGTATCTAATTAAAAGATTCCTAAGAATACCGGCTTCGTGGAGATCCCCTAAACTAATCATGTCTTCCACGCCATGAATGGAAGTGGCGTGCATCGCTTTGATGCGCCTCTCGGGGGAAAGCCAGTGCTCGTTACCGTCGTCATCTCTAACGGCGATTCTTCTACCTTCAGCTGATACCACGCATGCCCCGATTGCCACGTCGAATTCCGAGCCAGTTGTTGGTTCTATCCATATGTAATCACCCTAAAATAGAATAACAAAACATTAGTTACTTTATTTTGAAAGAAGGTTAATAGCTATTGAATTAGAAAATATTGAATAAAATAAGTAAATTATAAGTTTACAATACGAATGATGCCATATGCAAAATGCAATGATAAGGCTACAGAACTGACACAGGAACAAAAATAAGCAAGAAATATGAGCATTACATCCATCTCAGTTTATATCTTTATTGATTTTTTTCTTCACAGTCATATCAGAATTATCCGACGTTAGCGATCTTTATTGCAAAACCTTCTCAACCTTCTGGCAAATGCAATAATTGTCCTACGGTCCTGGAATCTTTATTAATACCAATATTACGAGTAATCCCCTTCACAGACACTTGCTCACCAACTATCCTACTCCTTCCAGTAATTTGAAATTCGTGTCTTCAAAATGGACTTGGGCAGGACATGTCGCCAGATTATCAGACAAACGATGGACAAAATGTATTTTAGAATGGAGATAAAGACAAGAAGCTGCAGTGGACGCATACAGGTTGATGATGATGACGTTTTGTCACTTGCTTTGTCACTTTTTTGTTCGATGTTAAAATTACACATGCAGCATGTGGCTTCCCATTGGTTTATTAGGCGAAGGAAATCCACCCGCAGAGAGCTATATGGAAGGTTCAGTTTCAAAGTTATTAGACACACAGAACAAATTACTGTTGTGTATTTGTCTTTATTATTTTTGGTGATATAAGCTAAATATCAGATTAACAGATCGAAAGGCGTTTCAACTCTAAGTACTGCTACAAATGAAGATTCACTAATCATTCCTTGAGACAAAAAACTGAAGATCATGAAGATCGTAACAAACAAGCCAACCAAATATTTATACAATATAGGAATCAATATAAATTTCTCGTGATGAATATAGAGGAATGGCAGAGGGATGCAAACGGTATATTCAACGCTACTTTTTGACATTGATCACAACTAATATTTACAATTTGCTAACAAAATTACGCATTGTATACATTTTACTTTATTTATGTTAAAATATGAAATTACACAGATATTAAACAACAAAGCAATGATAATTTAACATAAGTATTATTAGTTAACATACCTAATCATTTACCTAAACTAACTCAATAATATTGTTGATAAACGTACAGTCAAACTCATTGCAAAATAAAAAGAAACTGAATAATTCACTTCTATTTTCCTATCGCAAGTTGAACGACATTTATCAGTAAATCAAGATTTTTTTTTCTAAACGAATCTATTCAACCCTATTATATATTACATTATTTTATTATTATAGTGGAAGAAGCATAAACTTTTAAATAGGAAGGGAAATTGTTAAAAGACAGTTCAAATCGATATGGAACAAAAAGAGGTCCTCAGCTAAGGGTAGCAGCATCTTCTGGGATAGTAGGCAATTCTAGAAGGAACACTGAATTGATAAGATGCCATAGATACGTAGGTGGTGATGGATGGAGTGGAAAGCTCTGGATGGAGATGGATAAGACTCTAATTTCTAAGAACCTAGGGTTGGTTTTCGTACTGTTATCTTTCTGAAAAAGTATTAAAATTAGTTAAATACTATATATATATATATATATATATATATATATATATATATATATAATATATATATATACTGGATTTGAAGTTTCTGCGGGAGTTATACGTGAGTACTGTGGTATTTCGGATTTGACTCCGCGTTAAGTTGTTTTGTTTTTTAGAATAGCTATTATTTTGACGACATTTAGACATTTAGACCAAGGTTAGACTTGCCATTGTCTAGTTACATTAGTTCTGCTCTTTCCTGATGTTCAAGGAGAAAGGAACTCCAAATCTTGCTGAGACGTGTGCTATGAATGCTTCTGCTACTGTGGTCGCTTCTTGATTGGGAAGGGATGCAATTTCAGGCTATTTTGGAAAATAATAAATTGCGACCATTAGGAACTTATTTTCTCTCTCTCTGTCATCAGAAGTGGACCGAGAATGTGGACTGCAAGTCCTTCAAAAGGCTCTCCGGAAAGATATGCCATTTTACCACTATTTGTTGTTCTAGGGCCTTTTCTACCGTTACATAAATCGCATTTCTTACACTAATGTACTACATCTCGGCTGCAAAGGATCCAGTAAAATCTGTCTCGAACTCTGGCCAGTGTTCTGTTGACTCCGAAATGTCCTCCAAAAAGGCTGCTATGAAAGTCTTGCAACACACTTTTAATGTATGACTTTGGCAGTACCACTTTTCGAACTGTCCATACTTCATCGGGACCTTCCCACTTCCGAGAATAGACCATTGGAAAGGTAAAGAGATTCCTATTGAGCCCAGTACTCCTTTACAGTCCCACTGTAACGTATATAGTTATTTCATGCCAACTAAGTCTTACTCCAGTTTTAAGCTATTCTCGTACGACTCTTAAAACCTTTTTTTTTTTCTCTTTTTTAGGTTTTCCAGGGAATCCTGATCATTTTCTTCTTGCTGTTTAACCGTTATCTACCGGAGACTTAATTTTTCGGTTACGTTCTATTTCTCTTCAAGCTAACACTGACTTTTAACCTGTAATTCGTTAAAAAAAATTGACACCTGTTCTCCTAACTTTTCTATTTCATGTCTAGTAGTCTATGTGAGCAGGCTTCTAAATGTCGATCTGGGCGAACTTCTGACCTCATTATTTGGTTCTTACGTACTTGCCTGGGATCGGCTTCTGCAACTGTTTTTCAGTTTTCCTTGTTTTTGACAGTCCAATATGGGTGGATTTAAAAATTTTCTGGTTCTAATTGTACCTGGTTCAACTATGAAAGGTGATGAAGCTGTTAATTCAGATTCGACATTAGTTACTGAAACAATATTAGATAAAGAAGCTTGGGTATTAATTTTTCTTTCTATCTGAACTGTTTGTTTTTTTAATTAGATTTTAAATCATTTTGTTGTTGTTTTAAATCGTTTTGCAGTTGTTCCATTTTATTTTCAAAACCGGTGTTTTTCTTTTAATTTGTCCATTCTACTAGTAATTTGACTTACTTTTACCTGAAAATTGTCGTGAATTTGAAATAAACCATAAGTTTTACCTCTACTTTTCTACGTCTCTTTTCCTCTTCTTGTTTACGTTTCTCCTTCATCTCTTCCTCTTCCTGTCTACGCTTCTCCTTCACCTCCCTAAGCTTTTCCTTTTTCTCTTTCTCTTCTTCCCTACGTGAACCCAATCATCAACATTCCAATCTAGGTGTTCTCTGGCAAATTGTAATCTACTTCTACGATGATTTACGTTTAAAGCTGGTGCTCTGACTGGTATTCGTACATGCAGATCTTATTCAGCGAGACGCCTTTGTATAGTGATAGTGTTTCTACTAATTTGAATATCAGCCACTTGTATTTGTAAATGTCTCATTCAAACGTTTTCTTATAGCACAAGGCCTGATAAACTAATCTTGGCGTGGTGTTGTGAGTCTTCCTTTTCCTTGTCCACGCCCTGTCGTATGGTCATTTGTTGAACACATTCATCTCGGCTCAGATTTCTTGAAATACGAACCAGGTTAACTAATTCACTTACGCAAAACAGCAAAACAATTTATCGAATTGTAAACAATATTAAGACCAGTAAAAATCAACCGAGGAGTAAGACAAGGAGACACAATATCTCTAAAATTATTTACAGCTGCGCTAAAAGATATCTTTAAGCCACTCGACTGGGAAAATAAGGGAATCCCTATTAACGGAAGATACTTGAACATCTTAGATACGCAGATGATGTAGCACTAATAGCCGATATGTGGAATGCACTGAATACGATGATTGAGGAACTACACACAGAATCCCTAAAAAAGGACTGAAAATTAATTTCAGCAAAACTAAACTAATGTCAAACAAAGATGACAAACCTATGATAAACATCGAAGGGACAGAGATAGAACACGTAGATGAATATAAATATCTGGGTCAAAATGTGAAAGTAAGCAAAGAAAATCAGACTACCGAAATAAGCAGACGTGTAAAAATGGAATGGGCAGCGTTCGGAAGACTCTCATACGTACTTAAAAATAAAAATATACTTCAAAGACTGCGAACCAAAGTGTTCAATTCCTGCATCCTACCTGTGCTTAAATATGGAGCTCAAACCTGGACAATCACTAAAATAAACATGGAGAATATCAGAAAAACTCAGAGAGCTATGGAACAACAGATGCTGGGTATCTCACTCAACGACCATAAAACCAATGAAGACATTCGTAATGTAACGTCGATTTTTGATAACATCGAGTTCATACATTTAATTCAAGGTCAGGTTAGCTCATGTCGGAAAGCATGGGCGTGTTAAGGTCAACTTCACAAAAAACTACGTAGTATGTCAAAATTTCAAACACAATTAGATAACTGAAATTATAATTTATCATTGGACGCCACCCCTTTGTTTATCCTCGCAGGAGACGAGAAAAGATAAAAAGATAAGATACATAAAAAAATTTACAGCGAAATTACCTTTATTTCTCAGTAATAAAAAGAAACATTACTCTAAACAAAGCAACTTTCTATCTTTTAAAATCAAGAATTGGTTGATAGAAACAAAAGAATTTATATATTATTCCCAAATTTCGAAATTTGTTTACATTAAAAAAATTATAGTAGTTATTTATTAACTAGGCAACATAGAAAAGTTAAATCTATTTATTAACTAAGCATAATAGAAAGGTTAAGTCTTTAAACAAAATTTAAAATATTTCACTATATTCTTGTCTCTGTGAATCCATAAATAATGCTCGCGTTCCTGATAGGGCTTAATAAAAAAAAAGGTACAACCTTATTTATCCAATCTCTGGGAACCAGGAAAAAAGGGACATACTCTGCTTCTCCTCATCCGTTGGTTATTTCGTCAAATATTTACTAATAAGAATCCATTTATGTAATAGGTAATTATTGGAAACCATATATAGGGAAGTATTGGACCATAGAAAACTGTCTCAGTTAACTTAACATAATCAATGGACTTTAACCTCCTGGAAAAAGAGTCTGAA